CCTTTTCAGTTATAGTCTAGCTTTTCTGAAAGAAATAGTTCAACAGATAGGAATATGTTTTTATTAAATCTACAATTTAGGGGAAAAGGAAAAAAGTTATTTACCTATGTCCTGATCTTTGAAACTATGTCTTAATGATTAACTCTGATACCCTTTAATGGTGAGTTGTGTGATAGAAAGTACCAGAGCTGTGAAGTCAAACTTTGTTCAAACTTTGCCCTCCTCTGAGGAAGCCTCAGTTTCTCTTTGGTAAAATGGATTAATGTTTTTTATAAAGCAGCTTGGAAGATTAAATTAAATCACCCAGTATATTATACACCCAGGTGAGTTTCCAATGTGACATAGCAAAAAAGTACAATTGGTCTCTATTCCTGTCTCTTAGTTTAAAAAATAAAACATTACATATTTAGTCGAAGCCTCCCAGGTACTCTTCCTCATCTCTTTCTCCCTCCTTCTCCTCTTGAGAGCCAACCACCAGTTTGAAAATGTTTATTATTTCTTTCTTTTCTTTTTTGAGACAGGGTCTGGCTCTGCCACCCAGGCTGGTGCGCATTGGCGCAGTCTCGTTTTACTACACCCTCCATCTCCTGGGCCCAAGCTGTCCTCCCACCTCAGCCTCCCTAGTAGCTAGGACCACAGACATGCACCACAACCTGGCTAATTGTTTTGTTTTGTTTTTTAATAGAGTTGGGGTCTTGCCATGTTGCCCAGGCTAGTCTCAAACCCCAGAACTCAAGTGATCCGCCTGCCTCAGCCTCCCAAAGTGTTGGGATTACAGGCATAAGCCACCGCGCCTGGCCATGTTTTGTTTTTTCCATGCAAATGTTCATATGGATCACTCTGTTTATTTAGGTTGTCATTACTGGCCTTAAGAAGATTTTGTCTTTTTTCTTCATCAAGCTAACATCTTGGTAGATTTGTTCTTAGAAACCTACCTTTTTTTTTTTTTTTTTTTTTTTGCAGTTGTAAATGGTAATTTTTTAAATTACATTTTCTAAGTATTAATGTATACAAACATGTGGTTGATATCTAGGTACAGTTTTGATCTTCAGTTCCTTGGCTGAATACATCATTAGTGCCAATAATTTGTCTGTTTCTGGCTTTTCTCTGTGGATAATCATAGTATCTGTGAATAGTGACAGTTTTGTTTCTTCTTTTTTTTGATAACTCATATATTTGTTTCTCTTACTTGCATTACTCGGCTAGCTAGATCTTTTTGTACAAAGTTGAATAAAAGCAAAGATAGCAGGCACCCTTGCCTTGGATATGACTTTAAATGGAATGCTTTTAGAATTTCAGAGCCAGGCACTGTGACGCACGCCTGTAGTCCCAGCTGCTTGGAAGGGTGAGGTAGGAGGATTGACTGAGCCCAGTAGTTCAAGGCCAGCTTGTTTGCCCAGCTTGGGACAGGGTCTCAGAAAAAGAAAACAAAAATTTACCATCAAGCGTGATGTTGGGGGCAGTTAGGGATTATGAAAGCTACCATCTAAATTCCTACTTTGCTTAAGTTTTATTAATAGCTAGGCATTAGATTTTTTTTTTTTTTTTCAAAATTCTTTTTCTGTGTCTACTCATATGATGCAGTTTTTCAATTTTAGTCCATATGTTTAGAAATAGATTTTTTTGTTGTAATAGAATTTCTTCTTTTTAACTTGTAAGTTCAGGTGTACATGTGCAGGTTTGCTACATAGGTAAACTTGTGTTATGGGAATTTGTTACACAGATTTATTTCATCATTCAGATATTAAGCCTAGTTCCCATTATTTTTCCTGATCCTCTCCCTCCCCCCACCCTCCAACAGGCCCCAGTGTGTGTTGTTCCCTGCTGGGTCCATGTGTTTCCATTACTTAGTTCCCACGTAAAAGTGAGAGCAGGCAGTATTTGGTTTTCTGTTCCTATGTTAGTTTGCTAAGGATGATGGCTCCAGCTCCATCCATGTCCCAGCAAAGGACATGATCTTGTTCTTTTTGTGGCTGCATAGTATTCCATAGTGTGTATGTACCATATTTTCTTTATCCAGTTTATCACTGATGGGCATTTAGGTTGATTCCATGTCTTTGCTATTGTGAATAGTGCCGCAGGGAACGTGTGTGTGTGTGTCTTTATAACAGAATGACTTATATTCCTTTGGCTATATACCTGGTAATGGGATTGCTTGGTCAAATGGTTTAGCCATATTCAGGCCTTTGAGGAATCACCACACTCTCTTCCGCAATGGTTAAACTAATTTACATTCTCACCAACAGCGTATAAGCATTCCTTTTTCTCCACAACCTCCCCAGCATCTGTTACAAAATAGATTTTTTCATGTTCAGCTTCCATTGTTGTGGCACATCTAACCTAGTCACGTGTTTGTAAAATACATTGCTGCATTTGATTTACTCATGTTTTACCCAGGATTTTTGCATTTATGATAGCTCTTAAATGATCTTGGCCTAGAAATTTTTGTATATTTGTCTTTAAGAAGTTCTGGCCTCATTAAAAGAATTGAAGAGTTCCTTGTTTCTAGAACATTTATATAAATTTTTTGTACTTTCCTCATAGGTTTATTTATTTCATTTTTATTTTTTTGAGATGGAGACTCACTCTTGCTGAGACTGGAGTGCAGTGGTGCGATCTCAGCTCACTGCAACCTTCGCCTCCTAGGCTTAAGCGATTCTCCTGCTTCAGCCTCCCGAGTAGCTGGGATTAAAGTCACTCACCACCACGCCTGGCTAATTTTTGTATTTTTAGTAAAGATGGAGTTTTGCCATGTTGGCCAGTCTGGTCTCAAACCCCTGACCTCAGGTGATCAGCCTACCTCGGCCTCCCAAAGTAGTGGGATTACAGGTGTGAGCCACCATACCCAGACATATAATTCTTATATTCTTGCCAAGGGTAGGTTATATATGACTCAAGGAACAAATTCGATTGGACTTTTTAAGCAGCCAAAAAAAGGAATATGCTACACAATTTATAGTGGGCATGAGATCAAGATGAAACAATAGCTCCGTAAGAAACACAAGTATCCCTGAAACAGAAACCCCCAAATCCCTCCGTGAGTCCTTGTAGAGAGCAAGTCTGGCAGTGCAGTGAGAGCTTGTATCGTGTGACCACTGCTCAGCCTTGTGCTCAGCGAGGGCCAGCCCCAGCGTCCTAGTGCTGTTCAAGTGCAGGTCTCAGAAGGCAGACCTGCAAGAGGAGCTGTGTGATCGAGGCCAGGGGCACAGCTCTCTGTACTCTAGCACAGGGTTCCCAGCCCAAGGCTGTGATGGGCTCAGTAGGTCTCTGACCATCTCAGCATGTCAGCAGAACCAGTGGCTGAATCCTTCCTGTGTGAGGTGCTGTAACTTTTATCAGATCATCCAGGGCCCAGGATCCACAGATGGTTACCTGCTACTAATCTATGGAATTAAGACTGCCTTGGGCATTTCATAAATCTTTATCTTAGCCGAACTTGTACATACTCCTGGCAGTGAGTTTTAGTCTTCCTGAAGAATGTTATTAGATGACATACATTGGTGCTGTTTTTTTAAATGTCAGTGTGTTGTGGTCTTGACAGAGCAGAGTTTGCACAAAGGGGTTAGATTTTAAACTTGGACAAGACCTTGATATTGTAAGTAGAAATGTTATGGTCTCAACCTTCAGCCCATGATTTGAGCTACTTACTGTGGAGACTTAAAATAATGAGTTGTTCGGCTCTCATCTGATATTTGGCTCTTTGGATAGGGCGACCCTGGACATCTTTGACTACATCTACATAGATGCTTTTGGGAAAGGCAAGCAGCTGACAGTGAAAGAATGCGAGTACTTGATCGGCCAGCACGTGACTGCAGCACTGTATGGGGTGGTCAATGTCAAGAAGGTGTTACAAAGAATGGTGGGAAACCTGTTAAGCCTGGGGAAGCGGTAAGGTTTTCTTGGTTTTCTAGTACTTCTGCTGAGCACATGTCTTTAGAGGTTTGAATTGTGTTCATGATGTGCCAAGTGACTTTTCTTTGAGATCTTTGTAGTAGACACTGACAAGTTCTCTTTGCAGGTACTGAAAGCATTCTTCAGTAACAATATCTTAGACTGGGAAAGATTATTTTTCAAGGGCAAGATTTTCTCATATCCAAATACTTCGCCATCTTTTAATCGATACCTTCCTATCATTAGATAAGAAAAAAAAATAGGAAACTACCTTGTTTCTAAGTTCAAGGAAATTTGTCCTACAGGGAAATTAGAAAGTTGTAGGCTGTATATTATAGTAATAGTTTTCGGTCTAATGACAGAATTCTTCTTTCAAATGACTATTTTTTAGAGCAGTTTCAGGCTAACTGCAAAATTGAGCAGAAAGTGCAGAGTTCCCATATCCTCCCTGCCCTACACATGCACAGCTTCCCTCACTGTCAACATCCGCACCGGAGCGGTGCATTTGCTGCAGCCAGTGAACTGCACTGACACATCATTATCACCCAGAGTCCACGGTTTCCATGAGGGTTCACTCTTGGTCTGGTATATTCTGTGTGTTTGGACAAACACATAATGACATGTGTTCCCCTTTATAGTATCACACAGAGTAGTTTGGCCAAAAATATCCTCTATGCTCTGCCTACTCAGAATTCATTTTTAATTATGTACAGTGTTATTGCAGTGACTGCTTAATAAAAGTGCTTATGATTTTAATTTGGTACCCATCACCAAAGTAGGATACAAGGTTTATATTTATTGTGTATTTTTTTTCTTAAGAGCATTGTATCTCTGTTGAATAGAGAAGAAATAGCAGAATCAGAAAACATTTGGGATTTGTGTCAATTATATTTAAATTCTGGGCTTCAGAAAAAAAGTCTTTGCTGAAGAAACAGACAGGATAAGACAAAGATTATTTTTCCTCTGCTAGGGAAGGCATCGACCAGTCGTACCAGCTCCTACGAGACTCACTGGATCTCTATTTGGCAATGTACCCGGACCAGGTGCAGCTTCTCCTCCTCCAAGCCAGGCTTTACTTCCACCTGGGAATCTGGCCAGAGAAGGTAATTATTTAACTTTGATGCTTTGCCCTTGCCTTAGAAAGAGGAGTCCTAGATTGAAGGGTTCCCTGTGACAAGCTTAATCTTTGTGTTAACATGGGGAATAAACACAAATTTATTCAGTCTCCTAATCATAACCCATCAGTAGATTTTATTTTTCATTTCTTATTCTAAGGGAAATTGATTCTACTGCCAGGAATTCCCTGTTGTCTTTATGGTCAGCTCCTTCAACCCTAGAACCACAAAGCCTCTGTCTCTGCTACCACCCACTGGGGCCCTAAGATCTTTTTCTCCGAGTCACCTTCACTCAGCAAGGGAAAGCAAAGCTGTAAATGGTCAACCTTCAGCCGTGCTGTTAGCAGCTAACATTGGCCATGAATAAATAAGTGCTCCTGTCAGACGCAGGAAAGTTGGATCTTAAATATGTTCAAGTCCAGCCACTGGACTAGAGAAGGACTCATTTTGTCTTTGAAAGCCATTGAATTTTGGTACTGTTTCACCAGAATTTCCTCAGTTTTTTAATGACCCCCTCTGGGCTGTAGCACACACTTTCAGCAGGCTGCAGTGTTGACCTCCGCGGGCTATGTGGATGCGGCACGTAGAGGCCCATTGTGTATAACAGTGTGCAGGAGCCAGCCGCACCTTCCCACCAATGCCTTGGCTCTTCTCTGGAAATATGTGAATAGTCCTTTTTGTTTAGAGTAGAATTTAATTGTGAGCTCTCACAGGCTATCAGCATAAACTCATTTCCCTGTGTCATTAGAGAGGGAGGGGTACAGTCTTTCCTGAAAAAGTAAATATTCTAAATGACTCTACATTGCTTAGATTGAAAGTCTCACTGATTCACAACTTCGAAGATCTAAAATAGTTCTAAGAATGGATGCATCAATAGGAAAATCCCGGCAACTTCCAGGAGGGGCTTGTACGCTTCGTGTGGGAGCTGCTGGGCCCAGAGATTGTGTTTGAAGTAGCAGTTCTACCAACATGTGGTTCCAGCGCCGGTTTTGACCACCACATTACCATTTTTTCACCTGAGGGTCCAAGTAGAATATGCTTTTAAGGCTATTAACCAGGGTGGCCTTACATAAGTAGCTGTCAGAGGGAAAGACTGTGTGGTAATTGTCACACAGAAAAATGTACCTGACAAATTATTGGATTCCAGCACAGTGACTCACTTATTCAAGATAACTGAAAACATTGGTTGTGTGATGACCAGAATGACAGCTGACAGCAGATCCCAGGTGCAGAGGGCACGCTATGAGGCAGCTAACTGGAAATACAAGTATGGCCAAGAGATTCCTGTGGACATGCTGTGTAAAAGAATTGCTGATATTTGTCAGCTCTACACACAGAATGCTGAAATGAGGCCTCTTGGTTATTGTATCATTTTAATTGGTATAGATGAAGAGCAAGGCCCTCAGGTATATAAGTGTGATCCTGCAGGTTACTACTGTGGGTTTAAAGCCACTGCAGCAGGAGTTAAACAGACTGAGTCAACCAGCTTCCTTGAAAAAAAAGTGAAGAAGAAATTTGATTGGACATTTGAACAAACAGTGGAAACTGCAATTACATGCTTGTCTACTGTTTTATCAATTGATTTCAAACCTTCAAAAATAGAAGTTGGAGTAGTGACAGTTGAAAATCCTAAATTCAGGATTCTTACAGAAGCAGAGATTGATGCTCACCTTGTTGCTCTAGCGGAGAGAGACTAAACATTGTCCTTAGTTTGCCAGATCCATGATGTCACTTACCTGTGTGTTTGGTAACAACAAACCAACATTACGGAGATCCCTGGATTGAAAAACGAGCCTCTCTCATTCCTCCTACCGCCGAGTGGTTAGGACTCTATATAAATAAAAAGAGTGCTTTTGGGGGGAAAAAAAAAAAAAAGAAAATCCCAAGCCTCCTGTTTAAAGAAAAGGTGTAGGCCGGGCGTGGTGACTCACGCCTGTAGTCCCAGCACTGTGGGAGGCTGAGGCAGGCAGACCTCCCGAGGTCAGGAGTTCAAGACCAGCCTCACCAACATGGTGAAACCCTATCTCTACTAAAAATATAAAATTTAGCTGAGCATAATGGCAGGCACCTGTAATCCCAGCTACTCAGGAGGCCGAGGCAAGAGAATTGCTTGAACCCAGTAGGAGGAGATTGCAGAAAAGAAAAGAAAGAAAGAAAAGATGTCATCTGTAGCCCACATAGCAAATATCCTCTCAGAACATCTGTGTAATGTGGTAGAGGAATTTATTGGGAAAGAAAACTCTCCACCAAAGTTATCAGTTAACTTGTCCAAGGTGTAATTTATTTGTTTTCATTTTATTTAAATGTTTTAAATTAAAATTTTTTTTTTTTTTAATAGAGACTGGGTTTCACCATGTTGCCCAGGCTGGCCTTGAACTCCATCTTGGCTTCCCAAAGTGCTGGGATTACCAAAGTGTGACACCACACCCTGCCTACTTATGTATTTGTTTTATTTGGGGGTGTTTTGTTTGTTTCTTTTTGAGATAGGATATCACTTTGTCTCTTGGGCTGGAGTGCAGTGGCGCGATCTCAGCTGACTGCAGCCTCTGCCTCCCAGGTGCAAGCCATTCCCCTGCCTCAGCCTCCCCAGTAGCTGGGACTATAGGTATGCCACCACACCCGACTAATTTTTGCGTTTTTTTGTTTGTTTGTTTAGTAGAGATGTGGTTTCACTATATTGGCCAGGCTGTTCTCAAACCCCTGACCTCAAGCAGTCCGCATTCCTTGGCCTCCCAAAGTGCTGGGATTACAGGTGTGAAACACCACACCTGGCCCCTGCCTATTTATTTTTGATACCAGGCTATACTGCCTATTTATTTTTGATAGCCAGGAAGAGCTAAGAAACACAAGCCCCCTTGGTCATTATAGCAGTAATCCAGGGTTGTTATGGCTGTGATGGAAATAGAGAGGGTAGGATGGTGAGATTTTAGAAGTCAGGAGTACTAACTGAATCTTCTCAGCAGCCTTATAGGGTAGATATTATTTTTATTTTTGCCTTGATGCAAATAATGAAACCGAGGCAGTGAGAAGTTAAATAACTTACCCGAGTCTCCTGCGTGTGCCATGATGGCACCAGGAGTTCAGTGTGGGCAAGGTGGTGCCCGGGCCCACCCCACGAGGCATCCCATGGTCTAAGGCTAAAGCGTTTCTGAAGAAGCCAACAGACAGGCACATTCTCCTTCCTGCTGCCAGACCTACATCCTCGTCATGACCTAGAATTTTTCTTTCCCTCTTTTTCTGCCTTTCAGTGGAAAAGGTATCCCTCCAATTTTCCAAGGCAAACCCCCGTTTCTTCTGTTGGAAGTAAAACAAAAAATACTTCCTGTCCTCCCTGCAGGCATTTCTCCAGGTCACTACCTTTCCTCCTCCCACAGAGCTAAGGTTCTTAGGCTGCCTCCCACTCGCCAGGAACACCAGGACCCGTTCCCATGCCTCCTCCACAGGCACTGTTCTTGCCAAGGAAGCCAGTGACCCCCTTTAACTGAAACCATTCTCCTCATTGATAAATGAAGTACACACTGTTTCTTTCTGTATCTTTCTCCATCATTGCTGGCTACTCCCTTCTGGGAACACTCAGTTCCTTTCGCTCTGGTTCTAACGCTCTTGCTCTTGCTAGTTCTTATCTTCCCTTCAAGGCTGAAGGATAATTTCTAGACATCTTCTGCCCTGCACCTGTGCCCTAGGACAGTGCCCTGACTGTCTGCTGTGGCTGCTGGAGCACTGGAGCCCTGCCTGGACCCTGTGCTCCAGAGCAGCATATCCACACGCCTGCTACACCCGTGCACGTGACTCAGTCTCCCAGATGGGTGAAAGTCAGCCTGCTGAGAGCAGCACTTCTGCAGCTTGAAGCAGCGCCCCGGCCTTCTGCTTGTCCTCCTTCTCTCAACTCTGAGCCCCTGTGAGCCCACTCTGTATGCAGGCCAGAGAAATCTTAACAAAATATCAGTTATGTCCCTTCACTGCTTAAACCCCTCAGGGTGGCTCCCCTGTTGCCTTGAAGACCAGACTCGTTCTCCGTGTGGCTTTTAGGTTCTGGGTGACCTGGCCCTGCCTGCCTGACACTCCCCCACTCCAGCGGCAGCCCCGTGGTCCTCTCCTGTACCTGCCAGTTTGTCTGTGTGTCTGCGCTGTCTTGCTTCAGTCTTTTGTGCATGCTGCGTCTCTCTGCCCAGGGTCTCTGCTCATCCTCAACTCCATCTGCTTGCTCACTTCTGCCCAGCTGTCAGCTTAGACTTCTGCCTCCTCCGAAACCCCTTCCCTGGTTCCTCTGCACTGCCTGGTCAAGTTCTCCAGTCGTTCTGTGCTTGCCCTTCCCAGAGCTTCATCCAGTCTGTGGTAGCTGCTGCTCTGTCATCTGTCTCCATTAGAACATGTTCTTTAAGGACAGGGACCAGGTCTTGTTCCTAACTGCAGCCTTCTCCATGCTCTCAGCACAATTCCTGGCCCATGATAGGGGCTCAAAATTTTTTTCCAAATGACTAATTAAGAAATGACTTCCAGGTGCTGTGGCTCACACCTGTGATCCCAGCACTTTGGGAGACTGAGGCAGGTGGGTCACTTGAGGCCAAGAGTTTGAGACCAGCCTAAGCAATGTGACAAAACCCAGTCTCTACCAAAATAAAATACAAAAAGTAGCCAGGTGTAGTGGCATACGCCTGTGGTGGCACATCACCTCAGCTACTTAGGAGGCTGAGGTGGGAGGATCACCCGAGCCTAGGAGGTCAAGGCCAAGGCTGCAGTGAGCCATGATCATGCCACTACACTCCTACCTGGATGACAGTGAGACTGCATCTCAAAAAAAAAAAAAGTGGCGGAACTTCATTAGATATGAATAAATGAGAAGACTCAAAGGGGATGTTTAGAGTTTCCAGCATGGGGCAGTTTATGTCACTCTGAAAGTAGGTATTTGGAGAGCAGGCCTGTTTTGGTGGTGGAAGAAAGTGTTTTGTGTAGGGTATGTTGCATTTATCCTGACCTGAAGGCATTGAGTGCAGACGCCCAGTACCCTTTAGCGGGAGCTCCTAGCATCAGCGTCTGGTAACTGAAGCCCCAAAAGTAGCAGAAACCACAGACAATGGATATCAAGAAGGTGGAGCCAAGAACTTCAGAGAACCTTAGAGGGAAACTGGAATTCAGGGACAGAGCAGGGCTCAGCAAACTACAGCCTGTGGGCCAGATTCACATAGCCCGCTTTTGTGAATAAGTTGTATTTGTTTACTTATTATCTACAGCTTTTTTCAAGCTACAGTGGCAGAGCTGAGTAGTTAAGTCAGGGACTGTGTGGTCCCCAAAGCCTAAAGTATTTCTTCTCCGGCCCTTTACAGAAAAAGTCTACCAGCCCCTAGGCTAGAGAAAGAAAGCAGTATAGGAAAACATGGGTAATAGACCCCAATCCAGGATCTCTGCCCCAAAAGTTGTGATCATGTGGCATTCTAGACCTAGAGCATTTGGTGGGGACAGCATGGTGCCCGGGTCAGCACAGTCTGCAAATATGCCAGGCCCCGAGGCACGGTGTCTTCATTTCTGCCCTCTCCCTTCGTGCTCAGCCACACATCCAGCGAAGGTGGGGGTAATTATCCTTGACCGTATCCAGACTTTCTTTCTCTGATGATGATGCCAGGTTCTGACTGTTTTACTTATCTGGTGGGGAGGTGGCTGCTAGGAGAGAAAAGGAGTTGTGTATGTGGAGCACAGCCGAGGGACAGAAAAAGTGGCTTGTTGGAACTCTGTCGGCTCACAAGGTTGGCCATTATGCAGGCACTGTCAGTAGACACTTCTTGTTCGAGTAAAGGGTAAATTAAAAGCACCCGGCTGGAGATGGAGGCAGAGGGTGATTGGCTGTCCGGTGATTCTTGTTGAAACTGGGTTTGGGGTACTTGGGATTATACTGTCTTGTCCATTTTTATGTGTTTGGTACTTAGTGTAGTTGTGAATTAAAAATGCTCCTACACTTGCTCAGGTATGACACTGGTTGAGACCAAGAGTTGATCTTCATGCCCAGTGCCACAGCCTCACTCCACCTTACCACAGCCCTGTGACCCCAGGCAAGTCACTGCTCTAAGCCCGAGTCCTTTTCTGGAAGTGGCAGTGACTAAACCCTTCCCCCCCAACTTTTTTTTTAACCTAATCGTCCCAATTTGAAGGTCAAGAAATAACCTTCAGATGGGAAGGATTAAGTGAAACAAAAAACGTGATGGACTTGACACAGTGACCAGCAGAGAATAAGTGTTCAGTGAATGTTGAGGTCCAGCAAGTCTCAGTCTGAAAAGCAAGATAATAGCATGGTGATAAAACTGGAATTTTCACAATACTTTTCCAGGCTCATGATGCATCAGGAAATAGGCAGGACAGTGATTACTCATGATTTGATATTCGAAGAAAGGAATTCAGAGTTAAAAACAACAGCTAGTCTGACAGATCTGGGCCTAGAGTCCAAGTGGCTTTATGTGCTAAGCAGGCTGTAATCCAGGACTCAGTAAGTTGGAAGGGGGACTTTGTCATAAACTCTGTGCTAAGGGCTGTCAACATAATGGGTTCGAAGTAATTGTATGTCTGTGTCTTTTCAAACTTGGAGTTTTTTCCCAGAGAGGCACTGTGTGCAGTTGAGGCGGTGATAGTGGAGTCAGACAGTCCTGGTACTCTGTGCTACTAGTTTAACTTCTGCATAGATGTGGTTTCTCCTGCTGCATGCTGAATACCAGATACCATGATGAGTCCAGATCACCGAAGTGACCCGCAGGATTTTACAACTCTGACACACGTGGCTTCCTCCTTCTATTATAGCTTCTTAAACTTAACGAATGCATTCCTCTGATCCTTGCTCTGTGACCTTTTCCATCTTTTCCAGCACTGAGGCA